GGGGCATGATAAGCTTTAGCTTTGTTAAATCGCCCATAATAAAACTTTGACTTTGACTTTGACTTTCAGAGATACACAGTTTCACAACATCGCTGTGGGACGAAGATTCAGCAGTTTTGGTTTATGATCACATTCGCACTTAGTGGAAATTCACCGTTTGTTTCTGAGTTTATTTGTATTTTCATTAGGTAATATTTCCTTCTATTTGCGTATAAACCCGAATGTCTCTCATTGATGTGAAAGTTCTAACAGTGCAGTGGTGTTTGATATTTTGTCAGTTTTTACTATTCATATTCTGTTTAGTATACACAGGGGATGATTACTTCCTGTTATTCTTACACTTCAATAGTGTTATCTTACTTGACGAGGTGGTACATTTCTGTTTTCGGTCCGTCTGTCCACTGATCTACTGATCACCCATTTTTTATACCGAAACACATTGATGATTTGTTAGTTCACGAAAACTTGCCCATTTTATTATCTGGCTGGCTGTCTTCTAGTCGATCCTCGTATGTTGTCTTAACCTATCTATCTGCCCAACCATCCATGCACGCTCCGTGAAATTTTTCCTCTTACCGAACCGTAGTTTGGTGTACCATCAAGTTTGGCCATTATATATGCGTATAAATAAGTAATTTCCACTATATGATCTTTTGTCTTCAAGCTACAATGACGTACACTAGTGATGTGATGCAATAAACTGAAGTATTTCGTTTGTTTAGCTATGAGAAGAACAATCAAATATAGGGATTTCTAATAATACGTTCTCCAAAGCATTTCTCTCTCTTATGCCAGTCAGTTGGTATATTTTTCTGTTCACTAACTGCCATTCAATGATATAGAATATAAACCTCCCGGTTATCCATGAGAGAACATTTGGTTTTAACCGAAAGGAAGCATATTGCTTTTCAATTGGTTTTTCATTGACGGCAATACTATCATTTATTCGTCTGTTTCTTTGATCCGAGATTACGTGGTTCCTTTAAATCTTGCGATTGTGTCAGAATCATGAAATTACCGAATAAACTGAATCGCAATTTTCATCGTTTGTTTCTTGTCCCGATAAGAGGAGGATACCAACAGTGAACGCTGCTCACTTTCCGTTGATTGAGCCAGATGGGAGCCTTACTTTGAAAATTTGTACATGTACCATTATATGTGTGCTTGTATGTGACGCAACAGAAAAACTGTTTATACTGACAATCTGCAGTGTGTTCTCGCCGGATTTCTCCAATCACATTGCAGCATTAATAATTGATCTTGCTGTGGATATCTGTTATTCGTTTTCATTGTTCTTCTTCAGAGAAACCATTATGGATTTACTTATGTTCCAGTACAGATAAATACCTCTGGAACTGGGAATCATGTATCGATTATCTATTCACAGATAATTAGGTAATAAAATACCACAAAAGTTTATTGCCTGTTATGGCTGGTTTTGTTTACCCCTTTGGTTGGAACAGAACATTTGGTATCAAAACTTGAACAACATTTCATTTCGGATTTTATTGAAACTCTGTTGATATAAATATCTGTATGTGTAACTACTTCCAACAATCCTCAACTCCAAGTCACTGTTTTGTTAATTGCTGATACCATGTTTTCTTGTTCAAAAGTATTCGAATTCAAGTTTGCTTAAGATGATGTTCGTATAATGTCTATTTCATCCTTCATACTCTCATTATAGCTAATAGCGCATTTTCAAACAAAACGCCTAGTGTTNAGTGTTTGACACTAGCTCCGAACAATCCAGTCCGTGTTTACCGCGGTTAGAAGTAAATGCTAGTGGTCTTCCTTCTTCCGCGAGCGGCATCATGACTACAGCCCCATCACTGCGAACAAGTACGGGTCCATGTAACGGGAAGAGGGATGATGATCCACTGGTCAGCTTCTCTAAACCCAACGCGGAAGAGCTCCGGTATACATCCGCTTCAGTTGGTCCTGCTCAAAACCAAGCCACGAATTCAGCAAACAAATTTCAACCGAATCGAACATCATCCACAGATGTTTCGGCTTACCCTCCTTCAGGACAAGTAAAGGAAATCATTCGACAGATGAATTTCCTTTACTTGTCCTGAAGGAGGGTAAGCCGAANCCCTCCTTCAGGACAAGTAAAGGAAATCATTCGACAGATGAATTTCGACCCTCGGGCATCTGTTTTAGATGAGATGACCACGGAAGCTCGTGGAAAACCTTCTTTACAGGGCACTACTTGTATATCGACCCCACCTCCACCTCCGCAGCGAATGGCTAAACCCGATGGATCGGCGAATTTCGCCAATTATGAGGCTGCCCCATCGGAAACCGTGGGCACCTTTCGCGGTAGGTTTTTGTATATTTGCTTTTCATGTTCCAACCATTCGTATTTCGAAGCATTTTTGTGGTCGTGAATAATTGATATAACTTTGTTTACTTTATTGTAAGTGAAACCAATTGATTAGAAAAATCACTATGGGAATGAGGAATCGATTGGGGTGGTGCTAAGATGTGTTTATCTAACAAAGTACGGATGGAGTTTCAGCGGGGAACCGTCTTTCACCTATTTGTACATAGTGGCGAGGCGGTAAATAACGGGTGAAGTGCCAGCTCGTTTTCTTGAGTTCATTTGACAATCAGGAAGTCATATGTTGAGATTGGGAAAATTTCAGTAGCCTCGGTGGCATTCGAACCCACACGGGGGCGCCGCCTGCGCTTTTGTACAGCGCACGCTCTGCCATCTGAGCTACGCGGTCATACCGATACTACTGATCTTTTCACATTCGAATCATCCATCCAACGTACAGAGGCAAACAGCATCCACCAGTTAGCATGTCAGCTGACTGCCACGACAGGTTTTCCTTCGAATTCACCGGAGTCCACCGAACGAACTTCTAAGGCAAGGTTAATTGTTCACTTTGTTGTATGGCAGGTTGAAGTCTTAGTTTGAGATTGCGTAAAGTTCAGTAGCCTCTGTGGCATTCGAACCCATATGCATCTGTAAGTTGAGTGGATGATTCGAACGTGAAAAGATCACTGCTGTCGGTGTGATCACGCAGCTCAGCTCTCAGAGCGTGCGCTGTACAAAAGCGTAGGCGGTGTCCATGCGTGGGTTTGAATCCCACCGAGGCTACTGAAATTTTCACAAGCGCCATACAAAATCGAATCTGCCAAAGAACAATGTGAACACCCAGGAAATCAGTTCGAATTTCTGTCGATCAATACGTACGATTGAGCTCCCGGTGAGTCGATTTCAGTAACGTTCATATATGCAAAGTGGTTACTCATCTGTCTTCACATAGTTAATTATACCTCATTTCGTTTGTCCTCGTACATTAGCTCACTAAGTGATACTGATGCTCAGTTCTGAAAGAATCTGGATTGCCCTGGAAAGCTTTTTTTCGGGGAAAGAAATTCGGTTAAAGACAAACAGGCTATAAACTGTGAGATTTAAATTTTTACCCCACCAATAGTTAGCACACTTCCGCAAAATCGTTGTATGAGTAATATTGTTTTCCTTTGAGTAATGAAATCCGTGTGCATGCTGTTCTGTATTTGTGAAGTAAACTGGACGATTGGAGCGCAACATGCATTGTGAAAATGATGTGCCTATATTTATAACTAATGATTGAGGGACATTGTTCCATTTTTAAGATAAACTACGATTGCGAAGCACTTTACCATAAAGTTTCCCAAAATCTCAAGATCTATGGATTGAATAGCCTTCATTGCTTTACATCTGTCTCTACTGTTGCTTTTGGNGCATTCCTTAAAGTTCATTAAAATGCGGTAATCGGGTTGAGACGGCTATTACTGCTTGAATTTTTAGCACAAAGTATAATTGAAACCAAACTTCAAAATGTTACATTATGATCATTATCATTATTATTACAAAGATTTGACAAAATTTTCCCGGTAGCATACCACCAGTTTTACGGTGCTTGCTGGTCATTGAATATGCATAAATTTGCCTTTTTTCAGGTTTATTTGAGCGACAAACGTTTTCAACAATTAGGTCCTATTGAGAGATAAAAAACACCACATAACTCATGTTCGAATTGTAAAAAGATCACTGGCATTGGTGGTGTTCGAAAACACGAATGGACATTGCGTACACACTTTGGTACGATGTGTGCTCTGCCAAACGGACTGCGAAGCTGCAACGGTAGAATTTACCTTTTGTTATTCGGTTCAATCATTGGAATACCAGGGGCTTACAGACGCTATTCTTTGTTATGTAGGCTGTCGGCCTTGACAGGTTTTTGTTAGAATGATCGTAAGGATATTGTTTTGTATCATCTAGGAACTTTTTGAACAAACAACTCAGCCTTGAGGTTCATTCGGTCGATTTTAATGCAAACTTGCCAGAGAAGACAGCTTACATAGTAAATGATGGAGTTCTTATGTTTCTGGTATTCCGGTAATCGAACCAAATGCAAAGAGATAAGTGCCGTCGTTGTGGTCTTGTAATCCATCTGGCAGGACATGCACCGTACAAGATGCAGGTTGTGGCCATGTGTGTTCGAAGCCCGCTGCTGCTGTTGATAGTTTCACATCTCTAACCAATATCTTCATTGCGAAGTTTCTAGGTAAATTGTAGCTTGTAATTCTGATAATACGCATTCCATCGTGGTGCAGTAATCAATGTGATGACGCATGCCGCCGTAAACGCTCCTGTTTGGAGAGTGGTTAACTGATACAGTCATTCGATACAGGTTTGAGGTGACACCTTGAGCTAAGTTGATTGCAGAAAACCCTTGATCATTGGGTCCTACAAAACGCATGCTTTTAGTCCTCGAACCAGGGTTGAACTGAGGGTAAGACACATATCTCAGGTCTCTGAGCAACATATTAGATCGACTAGATTTTCGTTGAAGTAATGGAGCTGTCCTAAACATTCTTGAGTAGGCTCGTTTTTTGAACATGCAAATTTACACACACACACACACACACACAAAAGTCTAGGTATTTAATTTAACCAGAACATATTTTAAGAACGCCACTTTATATACAGAGTGTGGATTAAGATAAACGGTCTCGGAATCTGCCTTAGGGCTTTAATGTTCTATTCCCGAAAATGACAAAACGTACGTACTCCTAACATGTTTCAATATGTTTCAACATGTTTCAACATCTCCATTACCCTATCTTCTGCCAAAACTTTGCTACAAATCCATTATGAACGGTTATGTCAAATGTTAGAATAAAGACTAGACAGCTGTTATATAACTGTTAAGGATAATTTGGCCATAATTCTCAGAATAACACTGACCAAGTAGTCTGTTGTCGCTGGTGCACTCCTACCACCATGAGAACAATATACAGATTCTTTTAATGCCTTTTTACAAGATAAAGAGAAAAGCCAGTCTTTCAGAGATAGAAAACAGGTGCCTCGCTTGATCTTTATTTCTGTCGTTTGGTCCAGAATTATATTCAGAATTAAACGAGATCAAGAGGTGTTTGGTAACGTTAGGTAAAAGTATGTATAGGTTAAATAATATCCACAAAATTCCATTTGGATAGTTGACCGCGGTTACAACGGTTAGGTTTTGTGGTCTTGGGCCTCCTTATTAGATAATTTTTCTTCACTATTTGCTTGTTCCAAACAGGTCATCTTTCAAATAAATGCGATCTGAATGTATGCACATGACTGATGAGATTACCATCAAATAGTTGAGTTCAGCACATCGTGTGATCGTCAAGCTTGTTCTTGCTGTCATGAAAATATTGAGGGAAACTAATTGCATGAGAGTTCTATATCAATCGTATATATAAAACAAAATTAGTTTGTGAAAAAGCAACTACGAAGCCCGTTTATAATTTTTGTAAATCTTTTTATCATTCATTTAATTGAGCCTTGCTGAATACAACCAACGGAAAAAAAGGTATTTTATAAGAAAAGTTCGATTTCGGACTTCGTACACATTTTGTTACCACCGGAGTTGCTCCTTGAAACGTGAAAACGAAGCAGTGGTCAACAGTAATTTAACAGTTATC